TATTTTAGGCAATAAGTTGGTGTATTTTGGCAATAAATTAGTGTATTTTGAATAATAAGTTGTTGTATTTTAGGCAACAAATTGGTGTATTTTAGGCAATAAGTTGTGTATTTTAGGCAATAAGTTAGTTGTATTTTAGGCAATAAGTTGGTGTATTTTAGGCAATAAGTTGGTGTATTTTTAGGCAACAAATTGGTGTATTTTAGGCAATAAGTTGGTGTATTTTGGAGCAATAAGTTGGTGTATTTTAGGCAATAAGTTGGTGTATTTTAGGCAAAGAATTTGTTGTATTTTAGGCAATAAGTTAGTAATTTATTTTAGGCAATAAGTTGGTGTATTTTTAGGCAATAAGTTGGTGTATTTTGGGCAATAAATTGGTGTATTTTAGGCAATAAATTGGTGTATTTTTGAGCAATAAATTGGTGTATTTTAGGCAATAAATTGGTGTATTTTTACACCGACTAAATTGGTGTATTTTAGGCAATAAATGATTGTATTTTTAGGCAATAAGTTGGTGTATTTTCGGCAATAAGTTGGTGTATTTTAAGTCAAGACATATGGTGTATTTCAGGCAGTAATTTAGGTAGTAAGACGGTAAGTATATCTCCTGACTCTACTCACCTGGCTATGGAAAAAGTCTATATAGAGGTAAGAGCGAGGATCAGGTGCGCTATTACCTGAGGGACGACAAAGCTTATTATTACATTCTCTCTGTCACAGGTGTTCTGTCTGTCTGTCTGTCTGTTCCATTACTAGTCTCTCTGGGTGTCTGTCTGTGTCTGTCTGTTATTTTTCGTGTGTATGTCTGTCTGTCTGTCTGTCTGTCCGTCTGTCTGCATGTTGTCTGTCAACCTTCCTGTGTTTTAGTTCTGTCTACCTACTTCACCACCTCTCTCTCTGCTCTATCTGTCTGTCTGTATGGGTTTGTTTCTCTCACCCCCCAAGTATTCTCCCTGGTCAGTCTGTCTGTCTGTCTGTCTGTCTGTCTGTCTGTCTGTCTGTCTGTCTGTCTGTCTGTCTGTCTGTCTGTGTCTGTCTGTGCTCATCTTCTGCCCGGGTTGCATAAAAACACACCTGCAATACAGCGAGCCTCAGGTGTTCCATACAACGCCCCTCCTCAACAGTCTTGCAATAATAATTCGTCAATGCGGAAAGTCTTCACAATTTATAGGATATTTTCCCAGCCTGTACTGCACACTTATTATGTGTGTGTGTGTGTGTGTGTGTTAGAAATTATAAATTTGTAAACAAAAAAATGCCAAAAATCACAAAATACCTGACCTGACCTGACCTAACCTAACCTAACCAAATTGCATGATAAGACAAAACAGTTTTATTGTAGGTACTATATTAAATGATTCAATAAGTAGTGATTTAGTGAACCTTACGAAGTTAAATGGACGTAGACAGTGCTTTACTGCCGGGTTGGCATGTGGAAAGATGGTGTATCTCTCTCTCTCTCTCTCTCATCCATCCCTTCCTCTGACATAAAAAAATAAGGTTTTTTTATATCAGCGTCTGTAATTAGCGGCATTTTTAATTTCTCTCTCGTTTTAACCTTTGACCCAATATAACACACACACACACACACACACACACACACACACACACACACACACACACACACACACACACACATACCGGGGATACAAATCATCTTTAATAAACCTTCACAAATATAACCCAAGATCTAGAGGTTTATTACTTATTACCATCACCACCAACATAATCATCACTACCACCATCACCACCACAAACACTTCACCACCACAAACACTCCCTCACCACCACAAACACTCCCTCACCACCACAAACACTCCCTCACCACCACAAACACTCTCACCACCACAAACACTCCCCTCACCACTACAAACACTCCCCACCACCACAAACGCTCCCCTCACCACCACAAACACTCCTCACCACCACAAACACCCCCCTCACCACCACAAACACTCCTCACCACCACACAAACACTCCTCACCACCACAAACACCCCCCACCACCACAAACACTCCCCACCACCACAAACACTCTCACCACCACAAACACCCCCTCACCACCACAAACACCCCCTCCACCACCACAAACACACCCTCACCACCACAAACAACCCCCTCACCACCACAACACTCCCTCACCACCACAAACACTCCCCCACCACACAAAACTCCTCCTCACCACACAAACACTCTCCTCACCACCACAACACTTCACCACCACAAACACTCCCTCACCACCACAACACTCCCCACCACCACAAACACTCCCCACCACCACAAACACTCTCACCACCACAAACACGGACCATTGGGGTGTTTCTAGCACCTCCTCCCACAGGTCACTGGGTAGATAACTATAGAAAATGAGGAGATAATAAAACACAAAGATAAGAACTAATAAAATATCGTAAATGGACCACCAGTTCCTTATCGCAGACCGTCCTGGGGGAGGGGAGGGGAGGGGGTCTAGCTAGTGGTAAGTCTCACATTTTTCCGTCATTTCACTCGCGAGTCTTTCCCTTGTTATTGGAAAGTCTATTTTCAGCTGAGTTGGTGCCATGTGAGTCTGAGCTACAAGTGGTGAACTGTAAGGAATAGGAGGGGAGGGGAAAAGGGGAAGGGAGGAGGAGGGGAAGGAAAGAAGTGAAGGAGGAAGGAGAGGAGGGGGAGGAAGGAAGAGGGGGAGGAGGAGGAGAGAGGGAAGAGGGAGGAAAGAAAGAGAGAGGGAGGAGAGAGGAGAACTCTGCCTCACGTGTTGTCAACTTAAGCAACACTGACAACTATAATCCATTATGAATACAAAGAGGACCTCATCAGGCGTGTACTTTATGTTGTTATTTATGAGAGGAAGGCTGAGTGGGTTGAGTGGGAAGGGGGTGGCGTCAGGTGCGGTTGAGTGGAAGAAGGACGAGTGGGGTCAGGTGGGGTTGAGTGGGAAGAAAGGCGAGTGGGGTCAGGTGGGGTTGAGTGGGAAGAAAGGCAGAGTGGGGTCAGGTGGGGTTGAGTGGGAAGAAAGGCGAGTGGGGTGAGGTGGGGTTGAGTGAGTGTGGAAGGAAGGTTGAGTCGATGAGTGGGATGGGGTGAGTGAGTGGGGTGAGTGGGAGGTAGAGTCATCCATCACGTCACTCTCTACATTTTAGTCTTTACCTTAGTCTTCCCTCTATTTCCTCTCTCTAGTTTTTAGGTTTCCGTTTTCTTTGATCTATCACGTGAAGACCATCCTTACCCCCTTCATGAAGGTTAAAATCAGGTGAAATAAGGTAAAGGGGGTGTCTAATCTTCACGTCGTCTTAGAATCAAACTATATACCTGTTTAACTTTAGCAAATGATGACAACTATCCTACTCACCCTACCCTCCCTACCCTACTCTACCCTACCCTACCCTACCTAACCTAACCTACCTACCCTACCCTACCTACCCTACTACCCTACCCACAACCCTAACCTACCTACCCCACCCCCACTTCCCTACCCCACCCCCTACCCTACCCCCCTCAAAACACATCATTAACTATCTAACTAACCCCCACATTGTCTCCAAAATACCTAATTACCCCCTTCACAATTGGTTTACAGGGCCATTAAGACGCCCAAACTACCTCATTAAGGAACAACAATTAAGCCACACCAAGGTAACCAAATTTAATGAGAATGTAAAGTTGTCGTCGCGTACAGTATGAGGAGTTGTCCCTGTGGGGTCTTTAATAATGCCACATCACTATCCCACTATGCCACTATCCCACCATGCCACCATCCCACTATACTATCCCACCATGCCACCATCCCACTATCCCACTATGCCACTATCCCACCATGCCACTATCCCACTATGCCCTATCCCAATCCCACCATCCCTATGCTACTATCCCACCATGCCACCATCCCTATCCCACTATGCCACTATCCCACCATGCCACTATCCCACTATGCCACTATCCCACCATGCCACCATCCCACTATCCCACTATGCTACTATCCCACCATGCCACCATCCCACTATCCCACTATGCCACTATCCCACCATGCCACTATCCCACTATGCCACTATCCCACAATGCCACCATGCCACTGTCCACACTATGCCACTATCCCAGAATGCCACTATCCCAGAATGCCACTATCCCAGAATGCCACTATCCCAGAATGCCACTATGCCACTATCCCAGTATCCAACTATGCCACTATGCCTTTCATTACGTCCCATTAACCGCATTAAGGAACATGAGTGTAATATTATTGTGCTGGTGTTATTGTTGTGTTGTGTGTCGTTATCCCAGAAGGTAATTGGCCCACGATGGTTGAAAGTTAGGTGAGGAATGTGATTGGCCAGTGAGTGTTAATTGCTTTTTTTGGTTGTTGTTTTTGTTTTTTCTCACAATTACATCTGTCATTTCCCTTCATTAACATGTATCATTTCTCTCACCTCTCCCTCTTTCCTCCCTCAATTCTCCCTCTTTCCTCCCTCACTTCCCTCTTCTTCCTCCTCCTCTTCTCCTCCTCACCTTCTTTACCTACCTGGAGGTCACCAGTCCCTCAAGTGCCTCTGTCGCCTCCAAGTGCCTCTGTCTCCCCCAAGTGCCTCTGTCTCCCCAAGTGCCTCTGTCTCCCCAAGTGCCTCTGTCTCCCCCAAGTGCCTCTGTCGCCCCAAGTGCCTCTGTCCCCTCAAGTGCCCTCTGTCACCCCAAGTGCCTCTGTCTCCCCAAGTGCCTCTGTCACCCCCAAGTGCCTCTGTCACCCCAAGTGCCTCTGTCTCCCCCAAGTGCCTCTGTCTCCCCAAGTGCCCTCTGTCTCCCCAAGTGCCTCTGTCTCCCCCAAGTGCCTCTGTCTCCCCAAGCGCCTCTGTCACCCCAAGTGCCTCTGTCTCCTCCAAGTGCCTCTGTCTCCCCAAGTGCCTCTGTCTCCCCAGTGCCTCTTCTCCCTCCAAGTGCCTCTGTCTCCCCAAGTGCCTCGTCTCCCCAAGTGCCTCTGTCTCCCCCAAGTGCCTCTGTCTCCTCCAGGGGTCTGTCTCCCCAAGTGCCTCTGTCTCCCCAAGTGCCTCTGCCCCAGTGCCTCTGTCACCCCCAAGTGCCTCTGTCTCCCCAAGTGCCTCTGTCACCCCCAAGTGCCTCTGTCACCCCAAGTGCCTCTGTCTCCTCCAAGTGCCTCTGTCACCCCCAAGTGCCTCTGTCACCCCAAGTGCCTCTGTCCCCAAGTGCCTCTGTCACCCCAAGTGCCTCTGTCACCCCCAAGTGCCTCTGTTACACCCAAGTGCCTCTGTCTCCCCCAAGTGCCTCTGTCGCCCCAAAGTGCCTCTGTCGCCCCAAGTGCCTCTGTACCCCCAAGTGTCTGTCTCCCCCAAGGCCTCTGTCACCCCCAAGTGCCTCTGTCACCCCCAAGTGCCTCTGTCTCCCCCAAGTGCCTCTGTCTCCCGCCAAGTGCTCTGTCTCCCCAAGTGCCTCTGTCTCCCCCAAAGTGCCTCTGTCTCCCCCAAGCGCCTCTGTCACCCCCAAGTGCCTCTGTCTCTCCAAGTGCCTCTGTCTCCCCCAAGTGCCTCTGTCTCCCCCAAGTGCCTCTGTCTCCTCCAAGTGCCTCTGTCCCCCCAAGGCCTCTGTCTCCCCCGTGCCTCTGTCTCCCCAAGTGCCTCCTGTCTCCTCCAAGTGCCTCTGTCTCCCCCCAAGTGCCTCTGTCTCCCCAAGTGCCTCTGTCCCCCAAGTGCCTCTGTCTCCCCCAAGTGCCTCTGTCCCCCAAGTGCCTCTGTCACCCCCAAGTGCCTCTGTTACACCCCGAGCTTCGTCATATGGAGCCGGCAGATGTGACGTGCACGACTCCTGTGATGTGCACTACTCCTGTGACGTGCACGACTATAATTAACGTGCACCGCGATAATAACCAGGTTAAGTTAGGTTAGGATTCACCATATGGCAAGGGTAGGAAGGGGCTAGGCTGGACTATTCACCAGCCTAAATGGTTCCAAACTTGGGTGTAAATCAGTGAGGCTGGATTCCCTTATTACCTTACACCGCAAACAGTGGCACTGTAACAAAATATAATGGTGATAATGGCACTCGTAACACTATATAATGGTGATAATGGCACTCTAACACTATATAATGGTGATAATGGCACTCTAACACTATATAATGGTGATAATGGCACTCTAACACTATATAATGGTGATAATGGCACTCTAACACTATATAATGGTGATAATGGCACTCTAACACTATAATGGTGATAATGGCACTCTAACACTATATATAATGGTGATAATGGCACTCTAACACTATATAATGGTGATAATGGCACTCTAACACTATATAATGGTGATAATGGCACTCTAACACTATATAATGGTGATAATGGCACTCTTAACACTATATAATGGTGATAATGGCACTCTAACACTATATTAATGGTGATAATGGCACTCTAACACTATATAATGGTGATAATGGCACTCTTAACACTATATAATGGTGATAATGGCACTCTAACACTATATAATGATAATGGCACTCTAACATATAATGGTGATAATGGCACTCTAACTATATAATGGTGATAATGGCACTCTAACACTATATAATGGTGATAATGGCACTCTTAACACTATATAATGGTGATAATGGCACTCTAACACTATATAATGGTGAATATGGCACTCTAACACTATATAATGGTGATAATGTCACTGGAACACTATATAATGGTGATAGTGGCACTCTAACACTATACACAGTTCACTCAGTACTTCAGAGTCCATTATTGACACTGTAAATTACTATAGAGTCACTGAGTACATTCCTCATTAAAAATATTTCTCACTCTTCACTCGTTTTCTCATTTCTTTAAAGGGAGAGTAAATATTCCTCAGTTTTAACTCACCACCGCGAGGCACTTAACATCTTTTGAATTATTACCACGTGTGTTCTTGTTTTTAAATTAATGTTTATGTTTTGTTTTTGTATTTGTTATGTGAATCAAGCTTTTATTTGTTTTAATTTGCTATTAAAGAATATTTTTATTTAAAGTTTGTAGTCATAAGTAAGTAACTTTGTCCAGTTTACTTAACAAGTTTACCGACGTACAGGTGAGTTCCCTCGTCTTGCCCAAACACCTGGTCTGTTTTTGTGGTGTTAATTACTAGCAGCGGACCCACCCAACCCCTCTGATCACCTCACACCTCCACCACTAACCACCCTCACCCTCGTTCAGTCACTCCCCAACATCAACTTGACCCCAAGAAGAAAAAACTAACACCAATAAGATTTCATTTCATCAACGCGATTCATCATCATTTACCTGAGAAATTCAACACCTGGGCAACTGGTTCATCCTACCGCTCTTCCTCACACACTTCACTATTTCCTGCAGAACCACTTTGTCTTGGCTTATGTTAAAACTTATACGATCATATCAACAAATAAGAACTTTTAGAACTTTTCTTTTAGGTTTTGTCAGATTTAGAACTTCCTTTTAGAGTTTTGTCAGATTTAGAACTTCCTTTTAGAGTTTTGTCAGATTTAGAACTTTCTTTTAGAGTTTTGTCAGATTTAGAACTTCCTTTTAGAGTTTTGTCAGCTTGCACTTACGACTTGTACCTCCAAACATTAAAAACGTTTCATAACTTTATTTTAAAACTCCTTCATCTCCACACACATATACACACCAACTGTAACTCATAAACACGTACAGAAACTTTCAGAACTCCTTACTACCTCCACCCCTTTACATCTCCACCCCTTACACTCACCCCTTTACACTTCCGTCCCCTTTACACCTCCACCTTTACACTTCCGTCCCTTACACTTCCGTCCCTTTACACCTCCAACCCTCACTTCCGTCCCCTTACACTTCGTCCCTTACACCCCCACCCCTTTACACCTCCGTCCCTTACACCTCCACCCCTTTACACTTGCCTCCTTACACTCCGTCCCTTTACACCTCCACCCCTTTTCACTTCCGTCCCCTTTACACCTTCCGTCCACCCCCCACCCATTTACACCTGCCCCACACCCGCCCCTTTACACCTCCACCCTCACTTCCGTCCTTTACTCCGTCCCTTACACCCCCACCCATTTACACCTCCGCCCCCTTCACCTCCGCCCCTTTACACTCCACCCCTTTACACCCATATGCTCTGCTTGGTGTCCCTAACCTTTGAGAATGTCCCTAACCTAACCTAACCTAACCTAACCTAACCTAACCTAACCTAACCTAACCTAACCTAACCTAACCTGTACAGAGGACGCGTCTTCCTATCCTATATGTGAGATCACAACAACAAGGGTGAGTCCTCTCCTTCCTCCCTCCTTCCTTCCTCCTTTCCCCTTCCCTTCCCTTCCTCTCCTCCTTCCTTCCTTCCTTCCTTCCTTCCTTCCTTCTTCCATTCCTTCCTTCCCCACACACCACACACCTCACCACCTCCACCACACACCTCTCTCCCTCACCACCCACCACACCTCTCCCACCACACTCCACCACACCTCCCTCACCCTCCACACACTTCACCCTCCACCACACTCTCTCTCACCACTCCACCACATAAACACAGCGTCTCCATCTCCCCACCAATACCCTCTCCCCTCACACCTCCACCACACTCTCCCTCACCACTCCACCACAATAAACACAGCGTCTCCATCTCCCACCAAGATTCAACCAATAATTGCATCTCCTCACGTGATCTTTCTCCTCCTGATATTGTCAATATCCTCCCCACCTAACTCGTCTCACCTGTACCGGTAAGATCTATGGATGCCTCACCTGTCTTGTAACCAAAGAATTTGATGTGTTTTTTTTTAAGGTTGGTGGGGTTAGTTACGTGAGGTAAAGTTCTGATTTAAAGTTTCACCAGTTCAATTTAAAGATTCAGAACCTCCTCCTTGAACTTTCACCCAATAAACTTTCAATGTAGGTAAAGTTTTAGAACGTAATCTTTAACTTTCATCTAAAAAAAAAAAAAGTTCAATTTAAGTAAAGATTCAGATCCTCGTCTTGAACTTTCACCCAATAAAGTTTCCATTTAAGTAAGTATCTAGATCCATGAACTTTGACCCCAAGTAAAAGTTTCCAATAAGGATTTTTTTTCCATCGTCTTGTACAGTCTATAATAATTCCCCTTCATATATTTCCTCTCACATTATATAAGGTGTTCTCCATTCGCTTCTCCAATTACCTGTTATCATATATTTTTTCTTTCATCAAGTTATCTAATTCTTATTTATTCCTTACTATGTCTTCATTTATTTGGGTTTTGTTATTATTATCCCTAAATAATAGACCGAGGTAACGAGATATTATTGTTTTTTTTACTAACTATATATCTCTAAATCGTTCCGTTTCATAATAATTCGTGTTTTTCCTTTGTCTTGCGGATGGAGACGCAATAGGGATCGTTCACATTATGACTTCAATTTATGGTAAAATGACTTAAAATTTATGGAAAAAAAAAATATTGAACGATGAGTTTTCTCTAATTTTCGATTTTCTATATCTGTTTCTTTTTTTTTTAATTCTTTCTAATTTTATTGACGTCTGTCTGTCTGTCTGTCTTTCTGTCCATTAATACCGTACCTCGTAAACAGACTTAAGGTCAGGTCAGGTCAGGTCAGGTCAGGTCGGGTCGGGTCGGGTCAGGACAGGTCAACATCAGGTCGGGTCAGTCGGGCTGGGCAGGCCGTCGGGTCGGGTCGGGTCGGCAGGTCAGGTCAGGTCAGGTCAGGTCAGGTCGGGTCGGGTCAGGTCAGGTCGGGTCAGGTCAGGTTAGCGCTATAGGTTATATTTTCTATTTAACGACTAAATATTCATACACTATCCCATAAATTTACTAAACCATATTTAACAAAATAATTGAGACACGAGCTGCATTGTCAGTCAAGAATTGTGATTTTAATTGAATCGTAAACAACATGACAGTTCACAGCTGAACCTTGTTGGCTTGTTTATACGTGTTGTTTATATTATGTCCTGTTTATATATGGACTGTTAATATATATACACTGTTTATACGTATCTTGCACTGTTTATATTATGCCCTGTTTATATACGGACTGTTTTATACGCTTGTCTACTGTTTATTCTCACACGAGCACCTGCCAACACCAACACGAGTGAAAGACAGTGCCTGCCGGATTCTATTCCACATGATAACATTATTGAACGCCAAAGCAGACGAACGATCGCCCGCCATTTGCCTACAGTGGCGAATAGGAGATGATTAGCCATTAATTCAACCCAATCTAACCTAACCCAACCCAGCCCAGCCCAACCCAACCCAACCCAACCCAACCCAACCCAACCCAACCACAACCCAACCCAAACCACAAGCCAACCCAACCCAACCCAACCCAACCCAACCCAACCACACAACCCAACCCAACCCAACCCAACCCAACCACAAACTCCAACCCAACCCAATCCAACCAAACCCAACCCAACCCAACTCCAATCCCAACCCAACCCAGCCCAGCCCAGCTCAACCCAACCCAACCCAACCTAACCCAACCCAACTCAGCCCAACCTAACCCAACCCAAACTAACCTAACCCAGCCCAGCCCAGCCCAGCCCAACCCAAATTCCCAACCCAACCCAACCCAGCCCAACCTAACCCAACCCAACCCAACCCAACCCAACCCAACCTAACCCGTCGACATTTCCCTTACATAGAAACCTCTTTTTTAGAAACCCAGAGACTCAAAACCACAAGAGACCTAAAAATTGGTCTCTGAAATAGCGTGTAGAAACGGCCGGGAGGTGAGTGGTGACGTCATGTTGGTCTGTCTGTCAGTAATTGGCTTAACAGGACGACCAGCCCCCAGAAACTTGATTACCGGAGACCACACTTTCCCCTCACCCAGACAGACTTTCCC